ATAATGCTAGCTGGAGCGACCTTGGGGAATGAAGGCATCTGATTGATCTGTTATTTCTGTTCATATCTTGATTTAGGGAGAGAGAGAGAGGGGCGACAAGATCCCAATGTAAGTCAATTGGAGCCAGGATCAGAAGGAGTCAGAAAAGCCCCCTGGCGCACTTCCTGTTTGGAATGCTGTGGCTAGCGCATTAGCTATAGCTACTCATATATACAGTCTATGGTCGGAACAAACTGAATGAAGTTCTGTGGGAGAGTCTGAAAATTTGAGAAAATTTGACATCAAATCATACAGTCTATGCATCAAATCTGGTGCTTCTGCTCATTACTTTAAATTGCAGCCCTGATGTACGTCTTGGGGGTGTAGTACGGTGGGTGCTCAAATCAAGTGAATGGTCTTCATAAATGTTTAACACACACCGGACATATTATGATTCAGCCTTCTAGGTCTCTCCTGCCTAGCCTCAACTCTCCACTGGTGACAATTTACTACTACAGGCTAATGAATGGATGACAACAGTGCTATGTGCTATACAACAGAGTTATGGCGAGGGAGAATTATGTGTCAGCAGGACCCTTCTGTCACGCAAGAAAATAAGCATTAAGCTGGAATGAGTGCTTCTGGGTGCGGTGTACAGTATATGCTACAGCTCTGGCATTTCTTAATGGCCAGTTGCGGCTAGTAACTTTCGTGTAAACCTCCACATGGGAGAGTGCAAGAAGAGACACGGCAACCCTGCTAATCAGAGCAGTGAGCACACAGCCACAACTGCTGGGGTCTGGGGTTCGCCGCTCATCTGCTCTATCCCAGTTTCACCTGGGTGTAGTGCACAGAGGGTTTACATGCCCTAGTGGTAATATATGGACTGGTGTAACTTTCAAATTTAAATCAGATATATGATTAAGACTAGACTAGACTGACTGATGTTCGCTGTGGCTGTAGTCGTGAATGTTTTAATCTAAACATACAGAGAACCTGATATTTGCTAATTAGCCCTGGGATAACATTACGTCAGATGTTAGCCAATTGGCTACCACTATGTTATCTAACATATAGGTGCAATTTCCCGTTCAAAGGAGGTGTTTCTACACAATATTATACAGCAGCGTTCGGTTCCCGAATTCAAGACATTTTTACAATAGATTTTAATTAACCCACTTATTGGTCGCTGTTGTAGCTTCTTGTGCTATTACTCTGTTTTTACCCTCTGCTACAAACTTGAGCATGCGCAGTCTTGATCTTGATCGATGTTTCTTCTGCTCGATGAATAATATCTGTGAAGTGATGACGTATTTTTGACAGTAAAGTTCCGTCTGTGAATTCGTATTCGTACTGATGAAAGCGTAATCGTAAATTTTCATTTCGTGATTGTAATTCATGACGTCGTAATTTTTCAATTCGTATTCTGATGGATAAAATACACACAATATATTTTATGTACGACTGGACTCATTTGAGAGTTTACAAATATTTATTTTATGCGCAACTACAGCCAAATATGCACGGATTTCCCAAATACGCACGGATTTCTATTTTATGCGCACGAATATTTTTGACAGCTTTCTTACTCCATACTACACATACAGTTAGACCATACAGTTTGACTGATCATGTCCCAAGGATACACAAACATACAGCTGGCTTCTGTTGTCACACTCTGTACTTCTACACAAATGTCTGCATATAAATCTGAACATCTCTCTCTTTTTTTTCCTTTTTTTTCAAAATGATTTTAAATTTTTTTCCTTCAAATTTTTTCCTTTTTTTCTTTTCTTTTTTACATGTTGCCACAGTTCAGAACATACTTAAATTTACATTTGTATTCATACATTTTACATTTACAGTGCATAATATGTACAGTATAGTTGTTTCACTTCAGCTTCACTTCGCTAAAGAGCAGGGACTTTCACCCATTTGACTGTTCACTAGTTAGTTACAACTGGAGGGGAATTTCACCCAGTGACTGGTAGTTAGCTGTAGTGACTGTGCTTACTTCTACTGCATAGAATACATTGAAGTAGTCCCAATGTTAGATAATATGTAAAGCAAAGTGTAGTGTTTCGTCCTGGCCGTGGAACACTGGACCAGCTCTACACTCTCCATAGGGTGCTCGAGGGTTCATGGGAGTTTGCCCAACCGGTCCACATGTGCTTTGTGGACTTGGAGAAGGCATTCGACCGTGTCCCTCGTGGTGTCCTGTGGGGGGTGCTCTGGGAGAATGGGGTCCGGGGCCCTTTGCTAAGGGCTGTCCAGTCCCTATATGACCGGAGCAGGAGCTGTGTTCGCATTGCCGGCAGTAAGTCAGACCTGTTCCCGGTGCATGTTGGACTCCGCCAGGGCTGCCCTTTGTCACCGGTTCGTTACGACCCAGCTCGTTTGGGGTGAGGGAAGTAACAAAAATAAAACCAAGATGTAAAATGGAATAAATTAAGTAATGTTTAATTAACAGGAATGTAAAGGTAAATTAACAAAACACTAAAAATATACAGAAAACTACCTAAACTAAGAAACAGAACAACAGAATAAACAGAGTTTTGTGCCAGAAAAGGGGTCACGCAGGCTTACACAAAAATGAGTGGTAAAACTTAGGGACACACACTAAACTAAAACACAAGTTCCCCAAATTAAACCACATAAACCCACAAACAGAATCGAGTGACCAAATCAAAAAAGGCACAAAACAGAACTAGACTAACACACAAACACAAAACCAAAATGGCATACTGGCCACCAAGGCCAGCAGCCCCGAACAGGTGCTGGCAATCTCCTTAAATAGGGGGAGGTGGCTGCAGGTGAGGTGGGCGTCGACTTGCTCCACCAATCACAGACCAGGACTCCTGCAGCAAGAATCAAGAGAACTCTGCAGAAATATTACAACTAAGGCCTGGGGCCGTAACATCGAGGGTTCATGGGAGTTTGCCCAACCAGTCCACATGTGCTTTGTGGACTTGGAGAAGGCATTCGACCGTGTCCCTTGTGGCATCCTGTGGGGGGTGCTCTTTGAGTATGGGGTTCGGGGCCCTTTGCTAAGGGCTGTCTGGTCCCTGTATGACCGGAGCAGGAGCTGTGTTCGCATTGCCGGCAGTAAGTCAGACCTGTTCCAGGTGCATGTTGGACTCCGCTAGGGCTGCCCTTTGTCACCGGTTCTGTTCATTGTGTTTATGGACAGAATTTCTAGGTGCAGTCAGGGACCGGAGGGGGTCCGGTTTGGGGACCACACGATCTCATCTCTGTTGTTTGCAGATGATGTTGTCCTGTTGGCTCCATTGAACCAGGACCTACAATATTCACTGGGGCGGTTTGCAGCCGAGTGTGAAGCTGCTGGGATAAAGATCAGCTCTTCTAAGTCTGAGGCCATGGTTCTCGACTGGAAAAAGGTGGCTTGCCCTCTCTGGGTGGGTGGTGAGTCTTTGCCTCAAGTGGAGGAGTTCAAGTATCTCGGGGTCTTGTCCACGAGTGAGGGGAGGACGGAACATGAGATTTGACAGGTGGATCAGTGCAGCTTCGGCAGTGATGCGGTTGCTGTATTGGACCGTTGTGGTGAAGAGGGAGCTGAGCTGAAAGGCGAAGCTCTCAATTTACCGGACAGTCTTCGTTCTTACTCTCACCTATGGTCATGAGCTCTGGGTAGTGGCCGAAAGGACGAGATCGCGGATACAAGCGCTTGAAATGAGTTGAAGGATGATGGATGGAGGAGGCACACTGTCCTTTGAATATTTCCAAGTTTCCTTTAAAATCAACTTAAATGAAGTCTATTGCAAAAGCTCACCGAGCAAATCTTGTTCGAATTCAGCAGTGACAATCCAGGAAGAATCAGAAACCAATGTCCATCCATGTCCTTGCTTGGAAATCCAGAAGGATATCTCTCTGTATTTGTTATACAGGCCACTGATACAGCAATGAGTCTAGATTTGTCCAGGCAATCCATGTTCTTCTTTGCTCCATGAATCAGGAAAGAAAACAAAAGCAGACAAAATTCCATCTATGCTGTGTTCTGTGTGCAAACTACGACCCGACAATAGGGGGGCTCAAAGCAGTTATATGGAGAAATAAGCCTATAGATTAACCATGTGGATCTGTTCTCCCTCCTATTCCTCCTCTTCCTCCTCCAGTTGTTTTCTTTTTTATTTTGTTTTGTTGTTTGTGTGCCTTTATGCTGAGGTTAATTTCCCCAAACTAGATTTGGGGTGTTGTTGTTGCACCACTTAATTTTTATTACTATTTCAAATTGTTAACCCCACAACTGCCACACATAGAACTCCATTCAGTTCGCTCTGACACGGCGCACTCAAACACATGAATCAAATAAAGTGATATGGCCACATTTCACATTATTAAAATATGCCTGTGCAGATACATGTTAAATTTTAAACAAAATATGAAACATATAGCCTAATACAAAATAAAGACTTTATTTTTTTATCTAGGTCAGTTTAGCTGGTGCACCGCACTTGTGCCCTCTATTGACCAGCAGTCAATGTTGTCATTTATAATGATGACCTGACCAAGAAGTAGACAGTAAAACATATAAGGTCAAGTTATAAAAGTGTGCATTGATCCTGTGAAATACTCTAGACTGACTTTATGAATAAAGAGGTACACAATTATAAGCATGTACGGTCTACTACTACTACTACTACTACTACTACTGTAGTAATTGTGATAACCAAACACTGTGCAAGTGTAGGACAGTGACTGATGAAATATAAGACAAATTATTCATATTCATTCAAGATATAGTTCAGCCAATAGTGCTCAAGATGTTGGTTTCTGGCATTCATTATTATACAGGTATTACAGCCTGTGGGCTATGTTTCTCCGTCTCTTCCACAAAGCGTCATCATCTGCGAATAGGGACCTGCTAATCCCCACAGGAACTGCAGAAAAAACATAATTAATCATGATGACAAGCAAGTTAGTTTTTTTTGTATACTAATCAGAGGGCGCAGCATTACACTAAACATGCGCGCAGCCTGCCGGAAGTCATTAGAACAAGAAGAAGACCAACCGGAACCATTACATTACGGAACGTTAAGTTCGTAATGTTCCGTGTCGGAGTCCATTTCGGGTTGGACATTCATTCAAGATTTTGATTTTAGACAGCGTCAACTGTCACTGGCTATAAGTAAGACATGTTTTAAGTACAGCGTTTTTTGACTCGTTATTAGCTAACGAGACAGATTTATATGTTGCACTATTGTATTAGTTTACATTAAATCATCACGTACGGCATACACATGCGTACTAGCTAGCTGGTAGCATTAGCAATGCCGCTGTTAATCCAGGATAATCAAGTATAATAACATCTTATTATATTTAATTACTGTCAATTCAAGCTTCAAATGTCAAAACAAAACTTGTTTAAATGTTTCTGAGTTTGTAGCATGGACTGTGTTCAGTGGTTCGGTTTGAAGTGAACCCAGGTTAATACAATTTCTTGCCACATAAAATAATGTTTAACCTCTTACTCAATTGTTCAGAAATACTTGTTTACTGTGTATGTTTGTTTCTCTCTGCAGTTGAGCTGAACCATGACCTTATTTCATTTCGGAAACTGTTTTGCCTTGGCCTATTTCCCGTATTTTATAACCTACAAGTGCAGTGGACTGTGAGTGTATATCTGAAATGTTATGAGTAGTATTTTATAGACTAATATGATGTGTGCTTGCCCATAAACTTATGCAGTGTTTTAGCAACAGGTCTCTTTATGGGGAGGATAAAAATGTTTAATAAACTTCGTGAAGTTCTACAAATGATATTACAATTACACGTTACTGGCACCCTACTACTACTTTGGTTTGACAAGGGCATTTACACAATTCAAGATTAGAGCCCAAAGGCTTTCTTATGGAGTAAGAAAGCTTTCAAAAATATTCGTGTGCAAAGAATAGAAATCCGTTAGTATTTGGGAAATCCGTGCCTATTTGGCTGTAGTTGCGCATAAAATAAATATTTGTAAACTCTCAAATGAGTCCAGTCGTACATAATAATATATATCATGTGTATTTTATCAGAATACGAACTGAAAAGTTACGATTATGCTTTTATCAGTATGACTATGAACTTCACAGACATTATTTATTGAGCAGAAGAAACATCGATCAAGATCAAGACTGCACATGCTTAAGTTATAGCAGAGAGTAAAAACAGAGTAATGGCACAACAAGGAGTTACAACAGCGACCATCAAGAGGGTTAAGTTTGGTAGTGTTTGGTGTAAACTGGGACATTTCAGCGTCCCGAGGAACTTTTGGTCACATTTCATGCGAGAAATGCAGCTGAGATGAAGGTTAAGACTGACTGACTGCTCACTGTGGCTGTAGCCGTAAATGTTTTAATCTAAACATGCAGAAAATGCAGATATTTGCTAATTAGCCCTGGGATAACGTCACGGCTGATGTTAGCCAACTGGCTCCACTATGTTATCTAAGATATAGGTGCAATTTCCCGTTCAGAGGAGGTTGGTCACTGTTGTAGCTCCTTGTTGTGCCATTACTCCGTTTTTACTCTCTGCAATAACTTAAGCATGTGCAGTCTTGATCTTGATCGATGTTTCTTCTGCTCGATAAATAATGTCTGTGAAGTGATGACGTATTTTTGACAGTAAAGTCCCGTCTGTGAATTCGTATCATACTGATGAAAGCGTAATCGTAAATTTTCATTTTGTAATTGTAATTTTTGACATCGTAACTTTTCAGTTCGTATTCTGATGGATAAAATACACACAATATATTTTATGTACGACTGGACTCATTTGAGAGTTTACAAATATTTGTAAACTGGATTTGTAAACTGATTTCTATTCTTTGCACATGAATATTTTTGAAAGCATTGAAAGCTTTCTTACTCCATACTTTCTAGACAGAAGATTTACAACAGCATAAGACAGGGAAAGATGTAGAGAAATATTCAAGAATGTAGAGGTTTCAACACCCACAGATATACAGTTCAATAGATCAACAACTATCAGTGAGAAACATTTGTTTCTGTAATGTAATGTCACATTTACTGTCATGTAACTTTCTCAACATCCCTTCTACTTTGCCGCTGTCCTTTTACCTGTGTTACAACATTACAAACTCCTCAATGCACAATGCCATTTTTTGTCCTGTCTTTTAACATGATGTTATATTAAATATATGTTTTTGCAGATAATTTCTTTTTTTTTCCTTCAGATCAGAGTACAATGCTTTCTGGAGGTGTGTTCAGGCTGGCGCCACCTATCTTTTTGTGCAGCTATGCAAGGTAAGATAATTGTATTTTTTTCTATACTGTACATATAGTTAGGTCTAAATAAAAACAGGTCTAAATCTTCAGAATGAAGAAAAAATTTTACTGTTAATAGTTTAATAGTCTGTCATTCCATCTGCTTGAACTTTGGGTACCAACTAGAGCCCGACCGATATGGATTTTGCTGTGGCCGATATGAAACCGATATAATGGGAGTTGGAGCTGCCGATAGCCGATATAATCGCCGATATATTTAGTGATGTAAAAATTCACTGTAAATGTTGAATTGTTTAAAAAAACTTAGGCTTGGCTCTGGTGGATTTTAAATTGGGTTTATTTAGACAACATTTATTGTTATTCTGTCTCTTTACATCATATTTACAGACAGTAGGTTGGCTTAATGGCATTTTTGCATCACATTCTAGACACTAGTGATGGGTATTCCAGTTCTTCTTAGAGAACCGGCTCTTTTGGCTCGGCTCACTAAAAGCTGCTGGTTCTTTTGGCTCCCAAGTGGCTCTTCGGATTGTTTTGTTGCAAGGAGGACTAAAGCACGTCTAAACCAGGACTGAATCAGGACTGAACCAGGTCTAAACCAGGACTGAAAAAGGACTAAACCGGGACTTATTTATTTTATGCTAAACTACAGTCAAATATGCTCTTTTTTTTTTTTTTTTTTTTTTTTTTTAATCCTACGTACACGCAAATTTCTCAAAGTTTCGTTTTTAGCCGCTGCCGCTGTCAAACCACGAATCTGCACGCGGCGTGAAGAGAAAAAAAGTGAGAGAAACAGAAAACACGGCTCCCAATAAGGATCAGGCTCCCGTCGTTCGCTTCAAAGAGCCGGTTCTAAGAGTCATTTCGTTCGCGACGGACCCATAACTAGTAAAGAAAGTAGCGCTATTAGCCTTTAGCCGTAAATACGTGCGCGCCGCGGTAATTAATTATATGCGCAAATGTCATAATTCACACGTCTGTTCACAGCTCATTTACATATCAGTGCAGGTCCAGTAGCAAATATATGGCCAATATAGTCACTTTAGAACAGACCAATAGAAAACAGTCTGTTCATGTGCGGGAGCTACAGCAGCTAACCCATAACAAATGACAAAAACTAGCTTCAGAGTCGACATATTTCCAACACTCACCGCTCATACAGGCTCCTCCTCACATCACAAATCCGCACTAATAAATGACCTTTTAATCCAGACTCAAACCGATTGTCCGTAAAAAGAATATAATCTCAGTGTTTGGATCTATGTCTGCGCGTGTAAACAAACACACGTGAGTGACGCGACTCTGTGGTGTGTTCAGGGACAGTACGGACACACACAAATGACTCCGTAGATAAACACTGATGTGGAGCCACATATTAGGACATTTATCCGTCTGTAAATTGGATTAAAGGAACAGAATGTAGAGAGTCTAAACTTTATAACGAGGTATAACATGCCCACGTGAAAAACCGGCCTCTATCAGCAAGCATATCGGCCGATCGCCGATATGCCTAAAGTTGCCCATATCAGCCGATAATATCGGCCAACCGATATATCGGTCGGGCTCTAGTACCAACTGTTGGTCATTAAACAGTTATTTATAAATCTGACTAGTTTTGACTAGTTTATTTGGGCCAGAGTTACAAGAGGTCAGTATGCCATCACTGTCTCAACGTTTAGTACTCTGTCTAAGTACAGTTGTTTTCACTTCAGATGTTATTCTTGGCCACATTTTTTCCAACATGGGAAGGAGGAGCCGGAGTTTATGACTTTGTTGGGGTATGTTTGACATGAACACCTATCATTATTTACATTCCATGTTATGGGATTAAAACCTACCTTGTGTTGTCTCCAGGAATTCATGAAGGCAACGGTAGATTTGGCCGACCTGCTGGGCCTCCATCTAGTCATGTCTCGTAATGCTGGTAAAGGAGAGTACAAAATCATGGTGGCTGCTATGGGCTGGGCAACAGCTGAACTGATAATGTCCAGGTGAACTTTCTGTTCAACTTGGTATTCATTTTGGCTTAAAAGTTACTTGATTATCACATTAATTTAAATCCTGTTCATTATTTTGCATTATTCAGATGTCTTCCTTTGTGGGTTGGAGCCAGAGGCATTGAGTTTGACTGGAAATACATTCAGATGAGCTTCGACTCCAACATTAGTTTGGTGAGTATCTTGTTTAATGCTGCTTAGTTTAATTCTTGGAATAAATGTAACCAGATCTTGAATGTTTTTAGGTCCATTACATCGCAATGGCAGCAGTTGTGTGGATGTTCACCAGATACGACCTTCCTAAGAGCTACAGACTGCCAGTCACTGTGCTGTTGACTCTTTGTGTCTACAAGGCATTCCTCATGGAGTAAGCACCAGACAGACCATCATAATTGATCACTTGCACTTACTTCACAAAGAGTTAACCTAAACCCTGAGTTAGTCACCGTAGTAACTCACTCTGTGAACCTAACCGGGTTCAGGGTTAAGCTAGAATCTGTCTGGAGGACAGCTCTGATTGGACAATTCACTTATCCATTTAAAGAAGTACTGGAAACATTAAAAAAAAAAGATTTAATGATGAGGATCTAATTTTTAAGTGAATCTATTTTCCACGTTTACAGTTTTTTGTTTCAGTTTGTAATTTACAGTATAATGTAACACAACTCACCATTTGTGACAATGTCTTAAATTAGTTTGGTCAAGATAATCAGCTTGAAATCCAGTAAATAGATCAATATATTTAGTTATTTGTTGTCTTAATTTCTTAAATGTATTTAAAAGTACAATTTATGTTACTACACTCCAAATAGCTGAAATATGGGAAATTTTAGTGCAACATGTGGTTAGTGATGGTGTGTAAAATTAGTTTTAAATTTAAAATTGTATTAAATTAGCTCCAAACTTGTGGAAAATAATGTGTTTTAATGCATTGTACTAATTATTTATTAAAAAGTTAACTTAACGTCCTGTTTTAATAGCAAACCTGAGTTTAACTTTTACACAGTCACATAACTTCTCGTCCCTGTAAAATGAAAGCCTCTGGTTTACTTTTGTCATGCCCTCCTCTCTGATGGAGTCCACTGATCATGGCTTTTCTCCTCAAATAAATTCGAGTTAAATAAACTCTGAAACTCTTGAAATAGGGCCTAGGTCTGCGGAGCTGCAAAACCCCAAAAAACCTTGCCATTTATTACATTTTAAACATGCTGGCAGATGTTGGCAGTTTATACCTGAATATTTGTACTGGATATTGGTAATTGATTTATGCTTTCCTGCCTTGTGTGTTTTTTAGGTTGTTCGTTCACGTTTTCCTGTTGGGCAGCTGGACCGTCCTTTTGGTGAAAGCTGTGGTGACCGGTGCCATCTCTCTTTGTTCACTCTTTCTTTTCGTCACCTTGGTCCACAATAACTAAAGGCGCCACAACCACCAGAGAAAATCCTTGTGGACTCAAGACTGGACAGAGGTTCAATACATGAAACAAGATGTTAAATTACCTCTGGGACTTTATAGACCAAGATGGTAGTCTGATTTGAATAACTCCTGACATCTTAAGATTTACATGTTGTAATGATTTGATTTAGTATTAGTTTTTATACTTGGAGTATAAGATGTTGTGAAATTTGATGATGAATAGAGAGATTTCTAATGAATTAAAATTAATGAGTGTTAATGGGACTTAAGAGAATTAAAGGAACCGTATCTGCGCTATTAGTTTAAACCAGTATAATAAATAGGCAATGCCTCTTGTGAAAACTATCACCTTCACTCACTGAGCCGCAGAGGCTGCACTAGCACTGATCAATAATTGGCTGCAGGTACTGGGGGTTGGGTAGTGATGATTCAGTTCAGAGAGACCTTTTACGTTTTAACCACCTAGATTTCAGCATTGGAACTGGAAGCCCAAATGTGAGGCTCATTCCGTTTTCAGAATCATGTCAGACTAAAATGCCATATTATAACATAAACAACCTGGCCATCATGCCTAATGTTTTTCTAATTAATAATAAAATCAGCATTACAGTTGTTATCTTATATGGCATTATGCTTTGGTTATGTTTATAGAATTTAAAATCAAAATCTTAAATATAGTTTAATTTATACCACAACAAGCTACTGCCTGGGGGACAGATACAGAATTACTCCCAAATTACCATAAAGAGAACCTCTTTGCAGGATTATAATTCTGCACCATAATAAATTCAGTATGAAATATTTTGGTAGGAGACAGACCTTTATGTTTCATGCCTTACTAAAGGAGTGGTCTCAAATCTCTGCTAAATGCACATATTTGAATGATTACTTGCTTTGACCACCAGTCTGTAGCCATCTGCTTCTTTTATGTTCTGCTAATCCTCAGTGGGAAAAAAAAGTTTAGCCACAGCTGGTTTATATTAACAGAACTATACTTGGTAGTCTTGTTGTCAATTGTGTGTTGTGTACAATAAAGTAATTTTAATACTGCACTTTTCATCTCCTATAAGATAATGAGGAAATTCCAGTGTTTAAGAACAGTAGGAAACATGCAAGCAATCAATAATCACAATAAATAATATTAGATAGACTAGAATCTGATCAATCAAACTAGAATATTATTAATACTTTGAATAGAGTTAAGACACATAAAGGCTTAAAGGGCACATATTACGCAGTTTTCTGATCTGTTATATTTCCTAATCACAAACATACCTGGAGTTGTGTTTTGTTTCAGTCACATGTTTAGCACACAAATCCTCCTTGTGGATGTCATGGTAGTCCAGGAAGTACTCCACAATGTTTTTAAACTCCATACACCTTCACTGCACTCATTTGGATGATTTCATGGAATTTCCATTGTCTTCTAAACTAAAAGTAAAATGTTTCTGTTAACTTGAAAACTACCAGTACATGGCAGCACAAGGTGGAACTGAGCCTAATAATAATAATAATAATAATAATGATAATAAAGGATTACTCAAACACACAACTCCAGGTTTGTTTTTTGATGAGGAAACAGCATCAATAGACCTACATCATTGTGCAAGGACATTTGAGGGCATTAAAGGTGCTGCTTCTCCCACACAGCTCAAGTTACAGTACCACAGTGTGAAAGAAAATAAGACTCGCAGAAACAAATCTACTCAAAGCATGGATCTCACTGGATCTTGAAATTTGACCAGTATGCTTCCCCCCACCACAGTAGCTGTTTGACCTGCTGCTTGTTTGTGTGTCCTACATAAAGCCCGCTCCATCACTTCGCCCTAAAGACTAAAGAAAAAACATTTAACCATGCTTTTTTAGTGACTGCTCCAAAATTATGTATGTACGTACATTTCTTCTTAATTTGTGTTTATTTAGTTAGTTAGTTTCCAGTTTGAATTCATTGACATGTGGCAGTATGGGTTATATAAATTTGTGAACAGCAGGGGGCACCATCAACTAGTATAAATCCCTTTTGTGACATAAACGTCACTGGTTCAGTGATAAAATCCACTGACCCACAGGTTGGCAATGTGATTCCAGCTCTCATAGATAAATGCTGTTGCTGTGTCCTTGGACAAAGACATTTAACCCACCTCTCCCCCAGTGTCTGTGTACAATGATAAATGTATATGTGAATGGTCAAATTCAGGATTGTGCCCTTTGCCCTCAATGTGAGAGAAATACCATTTTATTATTTGATCTGATGTCTGCCTTCTGAACCCTCTATCATGTTTCCTCCATGGTTTCCTTCCCTTGTCTTGTCTGAGCTTTGGGACACCACTTAATATGGAGCATTTGATTGAATAAAGGAGAAGAAAGCAAGGGCCAGGGACAAATTCATATGACCTTTGACCCCACAAAGGTCACAGTCAGGTGTGGAATAAAGTTGCCATACAGCACACTTGTATGTCCTGACATTTACGAAATATAGATAGGTATAGAAGTACAAAGGTAATAGGTAATAGGTTCTGTGGAATAGCACACCACCCTCACAGCAAGAAGTTCCTGGAGCCATTGTACCAATTACGTTGCAGCATTGTGGTTTGCAGGAGAAGACTAAAACAAAACAAACTGGTGGTACAAATGAGAGCTGTTTCCAAATGGTAATGTGAAGATCTCCAATCACAAGTGATACATAACAATTTGACTTCTGCAGATTCCAGTGAGACTTTCTTGGTCAAATAAAGGCTGTGAAACCTCTGCAATTTAATCTTAAGTCTACAGTTACATTCTGACCTGTTTCTCATCTTCATACATTATATACATGTTACAGCAATGCAACATTTGTCAAAATGAATGAAATCGATTTATAATTTTACATTTTTATATAGTGCTTTTCCATTTTCAAGGTGGTCAAAGCGCTTTTGTATCAAGGAACCACTCGTCCATTCACGTACCCATTTATACACCACTGTATATAGACACTGGAGGCAAGGTGGGTTAAGCCCCCAAGGTCACAACAACCATATTCATACTGGAATCCCACTGTCCCCCTTTGTGTCAGTGGTTTTGACTGCTCAATCAACGATGTTTATGTCAAGAGTGGGATTCAGACTGGAGATGTTATAAATTTACTTATTTACTGCACTTATTACAATTACAGGTCTTTATATTACCTTGAAAAAAATAAGCTTTCTATGTGTGTAGGGTCACTTCTATTGAGATCTGATCCAACGTGCGTTCATGTAATATTAAATATTATACTGTGCAGATTCCAGACATAACAATGGCAATTATCAAGGGGTTAAGCAGGTAGCAGACTCTAGAGAAACGTAATGTAGTGTACCTTCAATAAACTGCAAAATAAACTATAGAATATGCAAAATAAATAAATTTTGACTCGCCCAAATGCACCATTTCTAGTTTTGTAAATGTCAGTTTTCAGTTGAGTGTAAATGGTATTTTATTTTACTGTGGTTTCATATAAAACAAAAATGATGATGATTTAAATGGATACCTTTACTGGATATTTTACAAAAAGGCCATCTATTGAATATTTTGAATAAAACATTTAAGTATCTGATGATTGTGTTGGTGTGCCCCTCCCTGGTCTTTCCCATGGGCTCTGACACTGGTCCAATTACAGCATGGCCTTTAGTTTTACAGTGCGTATGTGTACGTGTGTGGTTTGTGTGTTGCCTGTGTTGTTTGTGTGTAGTGTCTGCAGACCCGGTGGTGCCTGCTCAGGACACCCACCTTGGAGCTTGTCCCCTTGCCCTGCCTTGACTGCCCCACAGGATGCCACTGCACTTTGAGGATCTTTTCTCATCAGCACATTATAGCACCAATACAAAGACGTATGATCTTCTAAAAGTTTCTATCATTCATTTGGTCCAAGTCTCTAACTTCCTCTGCCTTGAACCCTTGAGCCAAACACAAACAGTTCAACATCAGTCGATGTGATATAATGTAATATAATTTTTGCATTTTATTTTGTTATGTGTTTGTCATTTTCAGGTCAGGTCTACATTATACTTATAGGAAGGCAAAAGAAGTAAGTAGACGTAATAATGAGGTTTTAACACATGTAGATAGAATATTAGATTATTTAGTGTGTAAATGTGCTCGACAAAGGTTTTATTCCTTGACGTCACCACAGACCATTGGTGACTCTCCCAGGGGCCACATAAAGCCACTATACACACGTGATGTGCAGATAACATACAGTAATCTAAACATCCTCCTTTTAATTTTCTTTATGTCTCACAAATGTCATTAGACTCAAGTGATAATCAGCAAGTAGACAGAACATACATTAGTCTGGGAACGGGGGGGGGGGGGGGGGGGGGGCTTTAACTTTAAATATTTTTGGTCAGTTGAGTCAAATTTAGCTCATTTAGTTTCTATTTAACACATTTAGTATAGCTTATATCATATAGACATAAACATATGAACACTGTTCCATACCTGTTCATATTTTGGCCCAATATGTCAGACTTTCTATGGGACACCCCGTTCTGGGTGTCTGCTCAGATCCGGGCTGTGGGGCAATTAGCCTTAATGGCAGGAAGCTTGTTAGCGTTATCACTGGCTCTCACAGACCATGGATCAGTCACGTAGAGGGGCAGACCGTCTGACAGCAAGCGTAGGGGAAGGGGCACAGCCTGCAGCCAACTGCCCCAGAGAAGAGCAATCATCTCAGCTTCCTGCAAGACACATTCAAAGCTGAGTGTATTTACAATTTTCAGTATGTTAGAATGAAAGTCAGAGACTATGCATCAATGCATTGTTTTAAGGCAGACCTATGGTGCATGAAAGCAGTCTGAATTTAGGAAAAGAAGTTCCAACAAATACTATTACTATTAAATCAAAGAAATGTTGCTAATGGAGATTGTAGTAGCAGGTCTGATTCATTATTTTGAGAATTTGAGGCTTGATAAAATGGTCTAAGAATTTGAGACTTGGCTTCTCCACAAATAATAAATGTGTATAGCAAACACTTTTTTCTGTACAGCTCATAATTAGGTACAATCAGTGCTTAATTTTACAGGATTAAACTAAAATATGTCCCTCCACTTCTCTATTTGTGATTAGGACTTTTTAGGGACATTCACAAAATGCATATAAATTGCAAAAAAAATAATAATAATACTCAAAGCACTTGGACTTGGACTTGTGGGATTTGGGACTTCACTTTCACTTGAGACTCACTGGAGACTTTCTAAACAAGGTTTTGGTCTCTCTTCAGGTTCTGATAACTGTGATGTAGTGTAAAGTCTTTGTACCTTATTATTGTAAAGTTACAATACTTATTTTTATTCAGTATAACTATTTTTGTACAAATGACGTCATAAAAGTTTAGCTCTATCACTGAGCATGCTCAGAGCCATGCAGTGGGTGCCTGGGTGGGTGCGATGACGCAAACAGTAGCACTCAAGCTTAAGAGGATGTGTCCAGGAAAGTCTTAAATGCAAAAGAAAACAAACAATGCAAACCCCTGAGTAATGTTAGACACAACAAGAGTCACGTAGGTTTGACACCAGTTTTAGGTCGCAGTGCTGTCTCTGGCACATTGACAGTTGCAGTGTCTTTGATTTTATTTACGCAGAAGCTCCTGTCAACATCCGGCACATCTGTATCTTCAAAAGGATGAAATGTAGTGCCCTAGACTGGCTGGCAGTTTGTCAGTACTTAATGTGAAAGAATAAGCTGCAATCAGCACATTTGAGAGATCAAATTAGCTCAATGACAGATAAAGAAATATTTCAATGAACATAAGCTTTATTTGTAGTTGTAGTTGTAAATAGGATAAAATAAGTGGCATAGTTCTTCTCATTTAATATTAGTTCTATAGTTAGTTTTTTATTATTATTATTTTATCAGAAGATGGTATCATAATAACCAAATAAACATACAGAATTTTTCAAAGCTTTGTGTGAGAGTGAGCAAAATGTAAAACAAAACACAACAGGTTTGTTTTTGGAGGAATATGAAATCCATAAAGTTTATTTTTATGAGGTAAGTGACAATGTAAGCTTTATGTGTAAAACATCCTTTTGTTGAC